CTTATTTTGATTAAATGATTTTTGTAATAGATGTCATTAGAGCTTTTTAATAAACTTTAGTACCAGTTTAAACAAGTGCACAGTCAAATACCATGTTGAAGGTTAGCTATATGATCAGGGGAGTCACTGCGAAACTGGAATTGCTTTCTTTTATTCGAATTTTCACCACTTTTAAATTGAGTTATTCTTTTAAGATTTCCGATTTCTATTAGTTCAATTTTCAAGATTAAACACCCCCTTTTATATTTTATGCACTTATCAATAATTAGTTCATGCCTTACGCAAAGAGGTATAAACTTTAGGATATGTCTCTGAGGATCCGACCCTTCTTACCAGTGCTACTTGTTAGTGCAATAGAGCAGTCTAATTTATATAATTTTTTGTTTGTTTAAATCGTGCACGACAGCGGGTTTAACACACCTCCAAGAAACCTTAGAAGAGCCGCAATTTTGAGCAACTATCTCCTCTCTCCTCTCTCTCAAAATATCCTCTTGCCCTAGTGTATTTGTGAGCCATTAGAGGTACTATACTTGTGGTGCTTGTTCTCAAAGCTCAAGATCTTCAAGGAATCATTGTTATTACTATATAGAAAGAAAGGTATGTGATCTAATCTTCATTATTTTGATTTCATAATCATTACATCCATGCTAGGGTTTCTAGTTTTTTGTGTTCAGTGCTTGTATATATAATAGTGAAAACATAGATCCTCAAATTAGGGTTGCATGCACAAAAAGGATTGTTTGCTATATAGAAAAACCATTCAATAACTTGATTTCATTCAACAGTTTTTTTGTGATGGCCCTCACTGTCATTATGCCCATTTATGTGAGGAATTTAATTAGGCCATGAACAGTTGACATGACTACTCCAAATTTGTGCATTGTTGTTCTCCCCAAGATTAAGTTATGCTTGGACGTTGCCTGAACAATGATAAAGTGTAGTAGTGCCATCTTCTTTCTTGCACTATTATACTATTCTAGCATGAGAGGCAACACGATCGCGCCTAACAGCGTGACACTATGCCCTGCAAATCCTGTTAATCTACATGGTGACGGTTCCAACCCCTCTCTCTATTTGGAGGGTAATTGTCTGAAGCAGTGTTCAAACATAATATTTTTCGCACTTCCTCAGTCGACATAGACTCTATGGAATATGGTGTTTTTTATCCAAGCTCGTACTATTAGGGGATCATCCCCTCCCCAATCCGGGGGAGCAATGCCATATGGTAAGAATTATAGTTCTGCACCCTTTGGGGTTGATATGTTCATGCTTGGTGCTTTGGTTGGTGATAGATTCAAAAGGTAAGCATCTTTGGCTCTTTTTCTGTGATTTTCGATTCTTTTTTGATTAGTTTGCTTGCTGGCTCACTCATGTTATGTCATTCTCTTAAGGTCATGGCTATCTCCTTGAGCTTCCCTTTACAGATGCATTCATCGAGTTCTTTCTATTGGATGCTACAGTTCGTTATATCATGACCTAGGAATTTGTGGAATTCTCAATATTTAGACTTGTTGGGTAGCTTATCTTGAAATTTTCTGGCACTTTTTGGGTTTGTCAGTGATCGCCAGTACGTCTGGGCGCTTATGTCTCGTGTCATCTCCTTAGTATGGTCGGTAGGGTCTGTGGAAGCGTCCTATCCTCCTTATGTATCCTTACTTGGATCGGTTGTTATAGTTGTCCCTTGGCTTTCCTTTATGGGAGTTTGTTGCTTTTAAATATGCTTCTTTGGCAGCCGTGCATTCTTCCTGTCACATGTATTTTTAGACTCTGTCATTCATTTCTTGTCTGGCCACGAGCATTTCCCTAAGAAACTTTTTAGATAATGTTCCAAATAGAAGGCTATGTGTGAAAGCTTCAGTGTTGAGATGGTTGCTTTGCCCTGGAACATCTATTGTGGCTTCATTAAAACACTTGAATTAGTCTCTCATGGACTCCCTTCGTGTTGCTTACAACCAATAATTTCTTATACATCCACTTTGTATTTTTGTAACTACATGAAGTTGGTGAGAAATAATTCTTTCAAATCTACAAAATTTCTCATACTATTTGGTCCTAATCTTTTGAACAAAACCCCTGCATTCCCATCTAGAGTGGTTCGAAAATGTGTGTATCGGAATCACTTGTCTAGCTTTAGTGACTATATGTTCCATTCATATACGTCTATGTGGCTATCTGGGCAGGTTACTCCATCGTATATTTTTAGGTGTGGGAGTTTGGTTATAGTGGGCATGTCATATTCAAGTAGTTATGGTATAATGGCGATATTTGTTGATCTAATGGGGCTATGTGGTTGTTTGCTTGAATTTGTGGGTAAATTGTGTGTTGGGGTGTAGGGAAGTTTGGATGGTGTGCCTTATTTGACATGTTGGTGAATGTTGGGAATGGTTGTGCATGAACATTATCAAAGGGCATGTTGGAGTATATGAGGGACATATAGAACTAAATAGGTGAGACAAACATTTGTGGTGAGCTGTTTGCCATGCTGAAGAATGGTACTGTTAAGGATGGTCGTGTCGCTAATGTTAAGCATATCGTCTGAAAAATCGGTATTGGTTTCACATGCATGTAGGGCTGCATTCCTATTTGTAGCGGTGTAAATGGTGGCGTGTTCCAAAAGAGTAGCGAAGTTAGGATCTACATAATGTTTAGTATGGAACTATTTTGTGTTGATTTTTGTTCACTTTTCACGGTGAGAGTAGGTACCCATAAGTGATTTATCAGCATCCCTTATATAAGGGAGTATGCAATAGTGTTGGTGGTCGTTCGACTTGTTTCAGTGATGATTGAGTCGAGGGATGGCATTGGCCGAATCGGGCTTTACATCATATTGATGGTGCCTCTTTCTGTGTCATTTTCCATGTTCGAGGTTTGGTGGTTGAGGCTTTTAGTATTGTTGTCTTAACAAAGGGATTGCGCTAATGATGTGATATTATGTCTCCGATATGACAACGATAGCTCTATTGGGTATATCCCGACGGAGATCTGTAATCACAACAAGAAACAGGCCATCAGCCATTCTCCTGGAGGATGTCCCGAAAGAGCGTTTCGATGGTCAAGTCAATCTTTGAGAAAGTATATAACGTAAGGCTTAGAGAGTGAGAGTTAAGATCCCTTTACCGTTGAAGGCATATGGCCTTTTATAGTGAGGATCTGGGCACAAATCTCGCTCGTGGGGTCAGGGGTGTCAGACACGATCGGGATAGAGGCGTTGATTAGTAGATTTTACCTTTGTCCCCTGCCTAAGTCGTGATTGTCTTAGTCGTGGTAGTGGTGCGTGCACTTTCACTGGAGTTAGCAGGTGATGGTTTGTCGCCTGTTGACTTTCCCGCGTATATTTTAAGTCGGACTCTATTCATCGAGGGATGGTCCGATCCAGGTTGGAATGAGTGCTGGCTAGCAAAGACGGCCAGTAGACTTGGCCATCCGACTTATACCCTTAGTATTTTTGGCGTGCCTAGGAGGCACGTTATCAGCGTGTGTGTAATTCATCTAAAAGGGGGCTTGTTTGGCTGAACCCTACATCTTAAAAAGGGCAACTTTTGTTTAACGACTAATATAAGGATGTTATATTAACGTAAGCACTTTGACTACAACAACATATGGTTGATTAGTTAACTTATATGGTCTCATGGTTGATCTGTTAGTGGATGACTATTCAGTTTTAGTGAGTTTTTCTTTTGTTGTCATACTTGATCACAACTATCATGATCAGATCAAAACCTTATAGACTTAAATATATTTTACCTCGAAGTTTTTCATAATAACATATTTTTATCAATGGATTTATGTAGAGTTATAACCTAATGGATATGAAGTCTCTCTCTCTCTCTCTCTCTCTCTCTCTCTCTCTCTCTCTCTCTCTCTCTCTCTCTCTCTCTCTCTCTCTCTCTCTCTCTCTCTCTCTCTCCATTAGACTAATTACCTATCCTCTCCTTCATTAATCATTATACATCCATAAAGATTGGATTCAATAATACTAGTATCACATATCGTTGTGAAAAAAGTCCTATAAATTGTTATATATGTTGGATTCATCATTTCTCACAAAAGAGAAGAAAATCTTACACGTCTTATATATCTTACATAGTATTAAAGTGAGTTTGTATACCCATGTGGCTTTCAATATATATATATATATATATATATATATATATATATATATATATATATATATATATATATATATATATCGCTTAAAATTTGAACATATTTTAATGCCAAATAAGTTTTTCAAGGTATAATAATTGTACGGGACTAAATTAAGCTATACGTCCGTAGATCTAAGCTACGTATAACTTTAAAATATATATGACACAAAAGGATATCACTAAAAACCAAAAGGCCATAAATAGCTTTTATGGCCAATTGCAGTTAAGAAATGTTATTAGAATCTTATATCGTGGAATAGTTTTTAGATAAACATTCATTAGAAACGTAAAAACGATTATTCGAATATTTCTTGAAATGGATGTACAATATTGGGAACTTGTTTTTTGTACAACATCAATCAATCCGTGGTGTTTCAAACTTATTCAAATTTACTATTATTTCTAAATAAAATTTAAATATATACGATGATCTACCGTAGGGTAATCAACGGATTACAACTCACTTAAAATAAGGTTTTACATACAAATCAGATGGTATTTATATACGTACTAGACTAGTTTATTTAAATAGTTCAAACCTGTTAGTAAATAATTTTAATATATAGTTCAAACTTGTTTAAATAGTACGTATTTTATATGCGTACTCATGAGTTAGAATCCATATATAGTTGTGGTTCAAAAAAACTTCATTAACATATCCAACAGATTAACTGGACAATATGATATGAACAACACAATATTTTTCCAAGGGTGTTTATACCACCACATGAGAAAAATAGAAAAAATGGCTTGATGAATTACATTTAATATTTAGAAAAACTTGATACGAAGATGCGTAAACCAATGGGTAAAAGCTTCTGTTGGTGTTTGCGATTGGGTTTAATAGCGATTTCAAGAGAAGACAGACAAGAAATCTTGTTCAAGGCAAGGAATGGTCAACCCCATGTCGTGGTTAAACCCAAACTCTTCCTCAGCTTGACGTAGCAGGATTTGGAACCCTATGTCATGTAGGCATGATATCGGTATGATGTATCTGCTTCTTCTTTCTCCTACGTACACTACAAAGTGTCCTCTGGGGACGTCAGCTGGGTAGCCATTGTCATCGTCTTCAATATTTGAGCCTTTCTTGCTGATTCTCTTATCGGCTATTGCTTGTGTTTGTTTGTTGTGAGATCTTCTAAGACCCATATTATGGATTTCTTTGTGTGTGTAATGGTTAGATGGTGGTGGATTGCAGCTGGTACGTGGTGATGATCGATGGTGGTGGTGGTGAAGGGCTTTTATAAGGGAGTTGAGAGGCAAATGCATGTGGAGGAGAGGCAGGGGTACGAAGGTGGTTTCATAAGAAGGTGTGTTTGAATAATCACTATAATGACACGGCTTCATGCCACTTTGGCCTAACCCTACATTGCCACCTTTATATATGACACCAAGACCCAAGGGGGCCTTTCATTTATTTTTATCAATTAATATATATATGTATGCATTAAAAGCCATATAGTTTTGAGTTTTGACCGATTTACTTATATAAAATCGATTAATTTATACTAAGTTTTATTTAATTATATACGGGTAAAAAGGATAAAATCAAAAGTTTAACAACGAACATACACTTAATCTACACCAGCTGTTTTGATCAACAAGAAATTTTCAATTTTTTGCTAAGGAACACATTTCATTAAAATTTTGGTACTAATGGGCATCACAAGTTTAACTAAAACAAGAAGACTTAATGCAAAAAATTGTTCAGATTGTAATTATATATAATATATTTAATTTTCTAAATCCCTTTACTTGAGATTAATTATATGATTATTATAATTATTGTAGTCTTATAGTTATTGTAGTTATATTCAATAGATTAATTATTTATAAGAACAAAAAAAGACTTATGGGATACCCCAATCCATATCAAATAATTACTTGTTTTCATATGACCCCAAAACAGATCAGATGACCTAATAATATTGCGTCCGATTATTACTCACATCATCATATACTAAATTTCATCGTAAATTTAACAAATATGATGTATTTTTTATTTTATTTCGGAATACTTTCCTGTTGATATTCTGAAACACCATTAATTATTTCCTATATATGTACGTATCTAGTGTAACAAATAACTTACTTTATTTTTATTATTATTGTTTGATGTTTGATGTTTGATATTTCAAGTATGTGTCGATTAGTGGAATGTATTTTTTATTGTTATCATGTCTAGCTTATAAAAAGAACATTAATATACCCACATAAAACATGTATTATTACAAGGGACTTGTGTGTATGGAGTTACGAAGACTCGTCTCATATATCTAGATTTAATCTTGTTTAAAAGGCATTTTGATAAACCTCATTCAAAGATATATGCCAAAACCACATCTAAAACTTTTCGACAATCAAATTTATTTCCAAAATCGTGTCCATCTCTCTTTCAAGAGATCCAAATTAGGTTGTGCATAGACCGCATATGGTGGGACCAAAACTTACGTAGCAATGAAGGTACTACATGTACAAAGGTGTAACATTTATTTTATTGCAAAAATCTAATGTTAAATTTCAACAACCCGAGTTAATATGTGATACGTAAACTAGATATACAAGGTCCTTCAAATTTGCGTGAAATGATAAGCGAAAAACACCTACAATTGAAAGAATATAGGTTATACAAGTTCATGAAATGTTGGCTTTGTTGTTAAAAAACAATTTTAATTGTTAGATTGTCTTTATACTGATGTGTTGTGAGAAGTCTATAGATAAAACGAAAAAAAGGAAAAAAAAAAATTAAAAAAGGAAAAGCACCAAATTTGATGGGTGTCCGATCTTTGGTCCTGATCGATATCGAGATGTCACGAGCTTCTGTTATTTGTGGTTTTAGTATTTAATATAACGATCTACTTATAAATCACACTTTATTTATACTTAAAAAAAAAAAAAAAAAAAAAAAAAAAAACACACACACACGTTACTGATATACATTTTCATATTAAATCTCAAATTTTTTTAATTTTGGTTTGGCTTTATTTCTTTTGACTACATAGTTTCATATGTTAGGTGATGAAATAAATTTAATCATATATCTACTACAAATACAAAATAGATAAGCATACATAATGTTATAGATTGTTTATTGGTTATTAAGACATCTTTCCCTACATATGTTATTACTATTTGGGATGTATTATACAAATCTTTATTCGAATCATTCATCGATATAATGCAAGATTAACTATTTGGTATGTTTACAAAAAAGGAGGGTCAGCAAAGAGTTGATAGTCAATCAACCTTAGCAATTTTGGATAGTCCCATGTCCCATAACTGAAGATGGATACATCAATACAGCAAATGGTTACAATATTATGACTTAGTGAACACTAATATTAGATGCCACTAATAATTAATGTATATCTCCTAATTTTGATGGAATTACAATCGAATAAAGCAAGTGTGATGTGGCCTTTCAACTACCTTCACATGCTATTGTCACAAAGGACATTCAAGGACACAATTTTTTGAAAAGGAACTTATAACCAAAGTACATAAAAAGGACAATTCAAACCTAGATAGCTCATTTACCAAATGAGTTCACAAAGATTCAGCCACTCTTGACAAAAAGTGAAATCAAAGAACATATATCCAAAGCAGTTCATTCATAAATCAACCGGTGGGAGTAGATGATAGTTATGTCTTTGTGTTGATCAGATATATAATGATGTCTATCTGGATAAACCATTGCGTATATAATGTTTGTTTCTTTTCTAGACCACAAAAGTCGATTGTATACGATTGAATGACCATCTTATCCTTTGATTTTAATGAACAAATTTGAAAATATTCTACGTGAGAGGAGTTTGAAGGAAAAAAGAAAACGATAACTACGTAAAGGAGTGGTGTTTAAGTACATTATGTCATGTTTTCTGGCTTAACTCATCAAGTCATTATGCCAAGATTAAGTAAAAAAGAAACAACCATGTATATATAACTATTCAGATTAAGTTCTTAACTCATTAAGTTAAAACAAGAAAAAAGCAACCCTGAGTAATTTTAGTTATTATTTAAGATTAAAGTAACATAAATTTTACGCTGCCCTTCAAACATACTCAATGGCCTTCTCAACTTCATAATATGATTTTGCACCTATTGACGTACCTCTACAAGTTTTAACAACTCATAAGCCTCAGAGAATTTGGTCAACCATTGACCAAGTGGATGATCTTTAGTGTCTCCCCTTTTCTTCTCATGTCCATCTTCTACATCAACATTACTTAAAGCCAAGTTCAAAGTATAACTTCAGATGATGAAACATGAAGATTTTTTAACAACTGAATCGTTACAGACATTATCATGAAATTTGAAAAGCTTTGAATCAAATCATCAATGTTTATTGACTTATAAGTCTAATTTCTTGTCCGGGACATCATCATGGAAGAATATTGGGATTCCTATTTCAAATTCACCCCATCCATGCTCTGTTAACTCAAATGGAGGTGATTTTATTACTCTATTTTAGTTATTGAAACTTGGATGAAATTGGAACATCCTCGTGATCTCAGTCACAGTTTCTGTCTTCTGCTAAAGAGACATATACTCTTGGGCTAACTATTCCCTCTCTACCGGGGGAACATACTCGTCTCGGAACAACTGTGTAAACCTCTCCCATATCACTGCAGCATGGTCTGCAGGAGTAAAGATGGCGGTCACAAACTTCCACCAGTCCTTCGCTCCCAAGCAAAACTGGTTTAGTGCAAACCGAACTCCCAGGTACTCGAGGCATGAGAATGTGTAAAAACACCTCTCAATGTCAAAGATCCATCTCATAGCAGCAATCAGATCCTGTGTCCATCAAACTCTGGTGGCTTTATGTTGTTGAACTCTCGTACCAACAACGAGTCAACTCTCTGAAGCCTAGCAGCGGCGATGGCTGTAGCAGCAGCAGCCTCAGTAACGGCTGCATATCGCTCATCGAATGTCTCAATCAATGTGGCCTTAGCAGACCCAAACATCTCCAGTATAGCCTCTCGAATGGATGTGGCCACCTCCCCCGCAATGATCCTGTGGATCTCCTCATCATTGGTCCCACTGCTCCCGGGGTTGTGGTATGTACCCACCATAATGTCTCTGAAACATAACACAAAAATCATCAGAGACTAGCTCGAGCATACTCACACTCGATTACTCGTCCCTACATGCTCCTTAGCATCCTAAGGATTCTTACTTGGGTCACATACAGATCTGGTGCTTTCAGTAGTACGGTCCACTACTACCTTCCACACTAAATTGTAGTCACCCCAAGTCCTCCTCCTACGATCCCAATTCACAAGTACTCTATATCTCACGAATATCAGACTTCTCACTCAGTAGGCTCCTCATATGCTCATCTAGGTATATCTCTTAGATTATCCTTCGACTCAGAACTCTTTCTAATAGATTCCTGGTAGATACTCATACTCAGCACATACTCAGGGAAAATAACAGATACAACGATCAATATCATCTCCTAGGCTAAGGCAACAAATCAGGCAACTCTAGCCCAAAAATATGAAATGCCTAGCCTATCCTCTAGCATGCATCCCTAATATCTCATAACACAAACAAGTAAGGGTATTTTGGGAACTCACCTTTTGGGCTCTGGATGATTATACACACTGCTCCATCTTGTTTTTCTCTTAAAACTCTTACTCGTTTTAGAAAAATCATTTCTTTTGAATTTTTTTCTCAAATCCTCAGTTTAAGTCCAGACACCAAGGCTCTAATACAAACTTGTAACACCATTAATTTTCAAACAAAAATTTCGTTTTAAAATCACATAATTCTCATTAACACATTTCACAAAAACCCCAAAGTGTCAAATTATCAAAACACATATCCATAATTGTTAGAATAAAAATTCAGGATCCTCGAAAACATAACTCCATCTACTGTGTACAATCAAGTCGGTGCCTTCCCGTGATCCAAAGAGGTACCTGAAACACATATCACATAACACGGATATCACGATGCTTAGTGAGTTCCCCAAAATACCACACACATCTCATTAGCCTCTCATGGATATATCTCAAATAAGACCCTCCAGTCAATGTGTCTCCGTGGAAATCCTCGGGTCCCACAACTCGCGTGGACCCTTTGGTCCTAACCCAGTAAAGCTCAGAATAATACACAGCATAAACCACAAAGATATAATGCAGGAT